GCCAAAGTCCTAAAAGCAGCTCCAAGTCACAGCCTCATTCGGCTGCAGCTGACAATATTTGTTCCCAATACCCACTCTTATCAACCTAATAAAATTTGGATTTTGCATGTTGTTATGTACAGCACATAAATGACTCCTAACTGATCCTGCAGCAGATTTTTAAAGGCTGTAAATCAGGTAGGAGGACATTGCCCTCTTTATCACATGGAGCAATTGGTGGATTCAAACCACCTCCCTTTGGGTTGGCAGGGCAACTCCTTACCACTAAGGTGTAGCAATATTCTCCAACCCTTTCCAGACTATGAGCAAAGTAGTGGTCATAGGACCTACTTCTGGCCAATGAGGTACGACGAGAAGTCTGCAAAAGCTGTTGTTGTTGTTGTTGTTGTTGTTGTTGTTGTTGTTGTTAGGGGCTGTGGAGTCAAGTATGACTCACAGCCACTCAGTGAACAATAGATCTGAACCCTGTCCTATCCTGTGCCATCCTCATCATTTCTCACAAACCTGAGCCCATTGCTGCAGTCACTGTGTCAGTCCATCTGAAGGTTGAGGGCCTTCCTCTCTTTCACCCAATGCTCCACCTTTCCAAATATTATGTGCTGCTTCAAGCAATCATCTCTCCTGACAATGTGCAAAGATTGCTGGGAATGGTCTTTCCCAGTACAAACACTACTCTGTTTTCCTACCTCCATGTTGTTTGCATCTTCCTGCCTGGACTGAGGTTGAAAGTGCAGGAGTATCATGGGATTGGTCCTATGAGTGAGACTTACCTTCAGGATGGCAGAATTGAAAGAATCAAGGAGCCTGAGTTCCCTGAAGACACACCAGCCCCGGACTTCAGTGTGATGCAACCCTAGCACCTCCCAAGCAGGACTGAATGCTCTGAGCTTTTAAGACCTAATCAAGGATATAAAATAGTATGGGCTTCCTGGGAGGGTCCTTTGCACTCAAGAGGGCCCCAGAATGGCAGCAAGCTGATTATACCAACAGCTCTGCCAGTCTCACAGGTGGTACAAGTTAAACTCAAGTTAGTCAGTAAAAACATTATCAAGGACCGAGAAACCAAAGGAGTGCCTGCCAGATTGAGAGGAGCAGAGCTTCCTGACTTCTGCCCTGGCCCAGAAAGAATCGGCGCCAGGTGGAGGAGTTATGGCCTGGCCCTTCACTAAGGGCTGGCGGAAGAGCCTGGAGGCCCTCAGAACCCTGGCTTCCAGGAACTTGCCACAGGCCACCTCGGAGATGCCAGCCCATGCTTGCCAGGACAGTCATTCTGGTTTTCCCCCTCACCTCTATCTCTGTTTCTATCACATTTGTTTTTCTTATCAAGAATGAAAACAAGTAATCAGCAGCTCAACCTTCTCCTCAGAGGAGTGATGAGCCAATTTGACTTTAACAAGGTGAGGTTTAGGAAGGAAAAGTATCAGTGGCACAAGTGTAGCTGGGGGGAAAAAGTATGGCCTCATAGCAGCATCTGTGAAGAAAATGTAGTCCGTTGGACCATAAATCACAATCTTGAAGTGGCCGCCCAGGGAAGTCATGTGAGGCTAGGTGATCAGGCAGGAACCTGGGCCAAGGAGGCCGAGCCCGTCTGCATTCCCGAGCAGGCTGCCCTGGGTGCCGAGTCATGCCCAGGCAGGCAGAGCTGAGCGTGCCCGAGGCAGTCGTGTGTATAATCAGCATGCAGAAGTTAGTAGCTTGGAAATGAACACAGTCGTAAGTCACCCAGGAGAGGCCAGAGCCTTTGAGCAAAGCTGGGAACTCGAAATCTGAGGCAGAACAGGAAGTAAAATGAGTGACCAGAGGACGGAGCAGGGGCAGCATCAGGCCAGGCCTGAGAGAACTGCTGCATGTGTCCTGGGTACCTATGGTCAGAGGTGTATCAATAGTGGTGGGTGTTCAGCTCAGGGCACTACATTTTAAGGAGCACAAGTCAGATAGTAGGGAATAGGATGCTGGATGCTGAGGGGGAAAACCATGGGAGCTAAATAATGAAAAGTTACCAGATGGATAAGAGAAGACAGGGTGGATGGGTATTAGGGTGGCATTATCATTTGTTTTTAAATATGTCAAGTTAAGAGTACGTGGGGATGAAGGATTAACTTGATCAGTACAAATACACAAGGCAACCTGGAAAGAACAGGCAACGTTTATAGTTTTCTGCTTAAGAGGAGGAAATTTTTAATAGCGCTGTTCAAAACCAGGAAGCCTCCAAAGACTGGAGATCCTCAACTGGAAGTTGTCAGGCCACTTGCTAGCATATTACTGACAGGGTGTGAAGCCTTTCCAACTAAGGGCTTTGTACTCTTATTTTCCAACCGAGACTCAAGCAAATTACCTGGGTAAAGTTCTTCCCACTGTGGAGCCCAGACACAGACAGTGGCTGTCCACAGTTCCCTCTTCCTTCACACACCAGACTCTTTCCCTGACCTCATTCACCCTGAGGGCACTGAATGTACTTCACTTTCAGCCCTGCCCCTACTACCATCATCCCCTCTACTCCCACTCACCCTCAACTAGTAGTTCTTGCTGCAGCCTGGCCGTAAGTTCCAGGAGCTCCCTGTGCTGCTTCTCTCTCTCTCTCCTCAAATGAGCCGAAACTTAGCTAATGTTAGAAAACCTCCCATCACTCAAACTCAGTGCCTCTGAGCCAGAACCAGCTCAAAGTTGACACTGCACTGGGTTTCCCGGCTATCACAAGGGGGCAGAGTGCCCATCTTTCTCCCTCGGGGCCACTGGTGGGTTCCAAACTCCAGAGGCGTCATCTTTCGGTTAGCAGTGAACCTCTTACAGATTAGGTCCTCAGAGCTCCTGAATTAATGCCTCACTTCTTTAGATTTGAGGATAAACCTTTGCAAATCAATAGTAGCTATCTTTGGGATTATTTTCTCCTCACTAAAACAACTTCTAAAAAGCTCTAAAAGTCTTTTTAGAAAAATAAAATTTTTCTTTCATACTGGTTTACTTACAAAGTTCGTAAACATTGCTCATCATTATTGAGGCAAATTTGGCATTTTGATTATCACTCACTGGGGAAAAAAAAACACCACCATTGGGATTATTTTTTTCCTCTATAATTTCCTAAAAGGTCTAAACAATATTTTTGAGGTAACTTTGGCATTTTCATCAATCATTCACACACACACACACACACACACACACACACACATGCAGCAAATTGCCTTTTTTCAAAAGCCTTGGAGAAAAGCATCCTTTCTGGTAGAGTACAAGCTCACAGAAAGACGGCTGACACAGTGGCAACCACAACAGGTCCAAGCAGAGTCGTGATGGTGCCAACAGCACAGGGCCAGGCACTGATGCATTTGGTATATGAGGTCACTAAGAATTGGAACCTACTTGACAACACCTAACAACATTAACACAACAGAACAAGGTCACAATCCCTCTTCAGAGGTAATGGCTTTAAAAAAGAATACCCCAGGCTCCTGTTCTTTCAACCAGAAGGGTCATTCAAATTCTTCTTATTGCCCTTTAGTAGTTAAAGTGCCATCTCCAAGCTTCATTATCCAGTGGAAATGTTTTAAAGTAAATGTTGCTAAAAGCCATGCATGTTCTTTTAAACAGATTGATTGGCTTAGAAAAATATCACCAATTTTCTAGTTGCTGAGACTTAATATCTTTCCTGACAAATTTATTCTCCTCAATAAATAGGGCACACACAGTTCTAGATGGTTAAATCCTTGCCTACCCATCAGAGTTTGAACCCGCCCAGAGGTGCCTCAGAGGCAGGCCTGGTGATCTGCCTCTGAATGGCCTTGAAAGCCCAATGGAACAGCTCCTCTCTGCACACATGGGGCCACCACTTGGAATCTACGCAACAGCAACAAGCAACAACAAAAAATAAAAAGTGTTTCTCTATCCCCTGCTCTAGATGCAAAAGAGGAAAACAGAGGGAGCTCTGGTGGCCTACTGGCAAGAACTGCACTGCAAACCCAGAGTTTCGTGGTTCGAATCCACCAGATGTTCTGTTGGAGAAGGAGGGGCAATCTCCTCCTGTACTAATCAGATCCAATTTGAAGGTACACACAAAAAAGAAAATTTAAAGGAAAAAAAAGGGAAAACAGAGTCACAGAGCACACCGAATGCCCTTGAAAAGTCAATCCCAGAAACTCCTAAAGAAGGAGCTTATTTAATTAGTGCACACTTAATACTTCCTCCAAGTCATATTTATAAACAAGTCAGTGAAAAAAACGGGACATTTTGGTTAACTGATTCCATGTGCTGGAAAAAAGGCAGTTATCCAAGTGACCCAGGTAATGAGACAACTCGATCCCAGGTGCCTCCTGATGTGATGTGCTGGGAAGGACACGGCATTACTTCTACAGGGTCCATTCCAAATAGACATAAAACAGGATCTAAACACGAGGAAATGTCACAAAATCCAAACTGAGAGACACTCTACAGTACCTGAATGCCAAGACCGTGAGCAATGAAGACTGGATGACCTAACAATTAAATGCAAGGTGGGATCCTAGCTTGGATCCAGGACCCAGGAAAGAACATTAGTGGGCATTTTGCAAAATTTAAATATAGTCAATTCATTCATATCAGTGGTAACTTCCTGGTTTTGATCGATGCACTACGGTTTCAAAAGCTGTTAACATTTGGGGAAGTTGGGTGAAAGGAACATAGACAATTTTGGACAGTTTTTGCAAACAAAATGTTTCCAAATAACACATTTGTAAAAATGCAGTTATACCAGATGCTGTCCTGGAAAAGGAGGGACAATCTCCTCCTGTACCAGTCAGATCTGATTTGATGGTACATGCACACAAAATAATATTTTTTTTTTTAAATGCAGTTATGAAATATAATTTCTTTGCCCTGTGAGCCTGGGAAGGGTTCTGTCTTCTGTGGACATTTTTTAACTTCCTTTGCTGGTAAATGGCTGGGGAACTGAGAGATATTGTAAAGAGTCAAGACTGACCTCCTCTCATCACCCACGTGTAAGCTCCTGGTCACCTCCACCCTCACTTTCTTACCTCACTCCATTTTCTCTATCTCGGAAGCTCAGAGCTTTTCCTGGAAGCTGGGAGAGGGGTCTGGAGAGGCGGGCAGTCAACATTGTGGCAACAAGTGAAAAATTATCTGCTTCCTCTTGGTGGGTTCTGAAATACAAAATGCACATCAATATTACCTTATCACTTTCATAAAATTAAGGGAAAATGGACATTTTCCTCCAGGCTTTATCCTGCCCAGGTTTTCCATGATACAGTTTACCTCCCTCCCCGTCTATAGCCTTATGTGATAGACTCAGGAGGCTGGGGTCCTTGGACATCTTGATTCTGGGTTTGACTGTATCACCAGCTCACAGGGCAACCCTGAACAAATCACCCATTCTTACATGAGTAGGTTGGGCCGGACCAGTGATCTCCAAACCAGGCACAGCAGACTCCTAACCCCCCAGGGATTCTGACTCAGTGCTAGCTCCCTCTTCATGTCCCCACATCCAGCAAAACATCCATCCTGGTGACCCAGGACATCAACTTTACATGCCTCTTTGGGTAGCTCTTCAGCCCTAGGCCACCTATCACTGGACTCAATTCTCCTCTCCCCTAATCCCACCAAACAAATAGAGTTGGATTCTGAGGAGCAGCTGAGTTCATCCGGAATCCTTCCCACTGCCAATTCATTAGGGGATAGAGCTAGCAAATGAGACTTCAATCAACCTAAAACACGCACACACTTCCCTCCACTTTAGGTTAAAGTGATATCGCAGAAACCCAAACGATTGCACAATTTATTTTCTTCTTAAGAAAAGTGACACTTTGATTTTTTTAAGTGATACTGCAAGAAGGCTAATGTCACTGTTGACATTAGATTGCTTGGCATCATGAGTAAAACTTTGCCACCGAGTCAATACCAACTCATAGTGAACCTACCGTGGAAGAAAGATGGGCAATCTCCTCCTGTGTGATTACTAGCCTCTGAAAACCCACTGGAGGGTAAGCTATAAATGGGATCCAACTTAACAGCACCTGACAACAACAGCAACCACAACCACAACAATGACCCTGCAAGAGAGAGTACTACCTATAGGGTTTCCATGACACAGCCTGTTTCCCCTTTCTCCCAGGCAGCAGCTGGTCGTTTTAAACCACTCTCCTTTAAAAAACAAAAACAAAAACCTGCTCACCTTTTTGTTCGTATCTGAGTGCTTACCCACTGCACCACCAGGGCTCCTAGGCACCATGACTGACATTATCTCTTGTTGGTCAGCATGTGCATGAGTCCCCCTCCTGGCCCATCACACAGGGAAGGAATGGGAGGCCAGGTAGAGGGTGGCCACGGCACCCATAGCCTGGGGGAGCTGCTGTTCTTTTCTGGGAAATGTGTTCTGAAAACATCTTTGTGATCAGATGCCAAAACTCCTTTGTATAAAAGCATCCTTTCCATACCTGATGAAGTGTTCCTGGCCTGAGTCTAACCTAACCTGGGATCACCCTCCCTTCTGCTTACTGCACCCCAGATGCACAGAGAGTGTCTTGGGTGTAGCAAGCTTGTTCCTGCCTCACAGGTCAGCTCTTGGTTCTCCCTTACTCTACATGGCAGAGTCCTGCTGCTGCTTCAGGCCTGGGCTGGAAGGGTGTGCTAACCCCCTTTCCTAGAGCTGTCCTCATGCAGCACCAAGGCTGTTGGCTATCAGATCACTCTGCTTAGCACTCCTGTCCACCCTGGCATGTCTTGTCTATTTACTCTATCTTCCCCTAATAGATTATAAGCTCACAGAGGTGAGGAGCCTTGTCTATCTGATTCATCACTGAATCCCCAGTGCCTAGAACAGGTGCTGACACAAGAGACACTCGGTCAGCCTCGGAGTAACAGAGAGAAGCCAAGAGAACTGTCTCCCAGGGCACTGTAGTATTTGGACCCTTAAAGGTGAAAAGAAGACTTCAGCTAAAAAGGGAGCTTCTGTCGCCAGCACCAAACAGGCAACTGTACAATTGAGCCAAGAATAGCCGATTATATTTGGCTCAGATTCCTTAACTAGGCGCCCTGCCCTCCACCCCAGTAGTGACCAGTTGGCTGAGCACACACAGCTCCACCCTCCTCCCTCAGAACTGGCATCTGAGGTCACCAGCATGGGTGATTTCAAATCCAGTTCTCTCTAATTAAAGTCCTTTCTATCCTTTCTGTTCAATGCCTGTGCCAGAAAATCCTTCACTATTGTCTCCATGTGGAGGGCTGCCTCCAATTTTAGTTCCTCAGAGTCAGTGATGCTTGAAAATAAAACACAAAAACAAATTCCAAAACACGAAACTCAGGTTGCTAAGTTGGAACTAATCATCAACTGACCCTCCGGCGGGTTTTCAGAATCTGTGAATTGCATGGTAGGACCTTGCTCAGCTTTCTTTGGAGGAGCAGCTGAAGGATTTGAACCTTCAAAGTGCTGACTTTGGGTTAGCAGCACTTCACCCTACAGAGTGGTCCAACAGAGCCCCCTGTCCTACCAACTATGGGGGTCAAAATGGTTCAAATGGCATAAAAATTCAACCCCTAGAATGATCTACTATTTGCAATGCAGGATCTTTTATTAAAAAATTTTCTTTTCTTTTTATCATTTGTGTGTGCGTGTGTGTGTGTGTGTGTGTGTGTATGTACCATCAAATCAGATTTGACTGGTACAGGAGATTGTTCCGACTTCTCCAGCAAAGCATCTGGTGGATTTGAACCGCACACTTCTGGGATTGCAGTGTAGCTTCCTGCCACTAGGCCACCAGAGCTCGCTGCAATGCAGGATCTTACATACAGAAGGGCAGAAATTAAGATTTCATTTTATTCTACTTATTTTTGAAACATACTTCTATTTTTCTCTCTATACCCAATGCATAGGCATAGTCCAAAGACACTTCCATGTTGTTGTCTGATCTTAGTACCTTGTGCTGGAATTTATTTCCTGTAAAGATTAAGTTTTCAAAGTCACAAAAACACCCAGTTGCCTTTTGGTAAAAAACAGGCATTGCTGTGGGAGGTCGGGGCTGCAGAGGGTAAGATAGGACACCTACCCGTGTGAGTGTGTGTGTGTGTGTGTGTGTGTTATGCTGAAATTGAAATTCAAGTCATTAGCTGTTAAGGGGTAATAGTACAAGAGACTTGAATTATGATGATCAAATTCATAAGATAATATGACAAATCAAAGTGCTCACATATCAGTTTATACTCTGGAAAAGACTGTTCTGAAGCTGAGAACACTTGTGTCTACTCTCAAAGGTCCTCCTTTCCAATGTCAACACATAAACATATGGAAAGCCTCCCCTCCACTCCCTCTCTCCCCCTCAATAAAGTGTGTGCTGCATTCTGACAGACTATCTTGCACAGGACCTTGCAGGCTGCATTCCTATGTGTCGGAGCAGGTTCTCGCCTAAGAGACAGTCATTCCCAGGACTGATATCCTCAGAAGGGGCAGACATCAACAGGAAACAGGAACTCAGGAGACTGGCCTCGGCAGGTGTTTCCAGACAAGAAGTCTGGATGGGCCTTTGGTAGCACCAAGTAGGCGGGGAGGCCTGGTCTCAGTGGGAAGGGCGAGTTAGATTTGAGCAGGGATATATAGGGACCTCACACAATGAAGAGCTTAAGACCAGTGAGCTTCTCTAGCCCAAAGAGATTCCAAGGTCTGAAAACTGGCAGCCTGCCTCCTAGTGTTCTACTCTAGCTGTTCTGTTTGGCCAGCCTATTGTCATAAAAGGCATTGTAACCAGGCAGCTAAATCATGTTTGAACTCAATACAAACAGTTGGCACCTCCTATCATAAGCATCTGGTCTTGGGCAGTGAAATGGTTGTACCCTTAACTACTGACCAAAAAGCTGGCATTTAGAACCCTCTCAGAAGTGCCTGGGAAGCCAGGCCTCCTGATTTGCTTCCAAAAGCTAATAATCTTGAAAACCTGTGCAGCAGTTCTACAAGGCCACCAGAATCAACTGAACAGCAACTAACAATTTTAAACCTCCCTTAAACATTGCATTTGTTAACTCTGTGGACACATTTGAGTGTGAGATCCTAACTGGGCAGATGTATATCACTCTTTCTCTATTTCCCTTCTGCTCATTTGATATACTCTTTCTTTTTTGAAAGTTCCAGCCTAGCTCAACTGTGCATGCAAACTACCCAGTCACTGGGAGCTTCTTTTAAAGTACAGCAAAAGCTACCTAACTTTTCATTTACCATATATGACTTCTACATATGACCAAGTTCTATATGGTTCAAGTAACACCTCCTCCAAAATGTCTTAGGGAGTTCTAGCGGCCGTATCTGTAGGGAGTGCCTCTCTGGCAGTTTGAGTCCACCAGCTGCTTCCAGGGGGAAAACTAGGTGATCTCTTGTGTGATTCACCACTTCTGAAAAACCTGCTGAGAGTCAGCTGTGAGTTAGTTCCAAGTCCACAGGAAGATGTAGTGTCTCCGCAAATCTCTTAAGTAAAACAACAAAAATTCCCAAACAATTTCTTACAAATTTCATTCACTATCTCTTTTTGTGCCTCTATAGTGGTTCTTGCAGGGAAGATAATAGAGATTAATGTCTAACTATTGAGCCTTTTAACTGTGAGCATCCGCAAATACAGATCTATGTGTTGAACCATTCATCACTTCTGGCTCTTCCAAAATATCTAGGCTGACGTCTGACAGGAAGCAGACGCTCTATCATTGTGTAGTGAGGGAACACAAAAGCTACGCAAATTTCACAGCTCTGCTCCATTGTCCCCTGTGTCCTGTGCAGGGCCCGGTTCTACTGCCCTAAAAGAAATGGCATCTGTTGCGTCAGCAAGGATCCTGGCAGCAAGAGTTCCCCCACCCCCAACCCCCACCCCGTGATGAAATACGTGCCTCTGCAACCCCTCAAAGCATCACTGACAAGGGTTAGACCGTGACTCTGCATCAGCTGACTAAGAGCAGACCTTGGCTGGCTAGCGGGGGACAGAGAATAAACACGGAGCTCAGGCCGTCGCCTGTCATCTGACAGCCCCCCAGGCAGCACGGAGATGAGCGCAGCGCCAGCGCAAGACCCGCGCGCACGACGTGTCAGGCGCGCTCGGCACGCAAGCAGAGCCCCCATACGCCACACAC